ATTATAAGCGTTTTCTTCATTGAAATCGATTAAAATCAATTTATAGCGAGTATAATCGATTATCTATGACTTTTTATTAATCAATTTTCATCAGCTTTTGATGATTTTTTTTTTACATGGAGCAACCCAGACCAGCACAACTACAGAATGTAAATCATTTCGTTCCATTTTTTAAATTTCTTCTGGTATTCTATTACTTCTAATATAATACTTAGGGCATACCAAAAGTAATGAGAGTGACACTTTAGTGCTGTATGCTAAACTTAAAGAAACTTTCTTTCTATACAGTTTGATAGAGAAAAAAGCTATCTTTCCATGCTATTTGATCATATTTCAACTAATATCATAATAATAAAATTTCGGTAAGATGTGTTTCGTTATCATATGTGCTGGTTCTATTAATACTCATTTTAAAAAATACGAGTGTGTATTTTTTGAATAACTATTGATAGAAATAAGATAGAGAAGTGCGGTTTTCATCGTTGAAAACCGGAGATAAAGATGCGGCGAACCATGTATTCCAGGTTTTTCTGATCTACTTTTTTTTTGTAAGATTTTCAATTGATCTTTTTAAGAACAAACTTATATGATAAGTTGTTTACAGTAAATTTTGAATTATTCAGTATAAATTCAAACCACTTATCGAAGATCTACGAAGTGCGGAAGGCTGACATGAATATGCATTCTAGTAGAGTCTCAAATATGATTTTGTAGCACAATCTGTAAAAAAAGCTCACTTTTGTGGTTTTTCCCTTTTATCATAAAGAAAAACATTTTTTCAACTGTTAGGAAATTGAATAAAACTACTTTAGAAATCAATATTAGAAAAACTTGCAATACGCGATTGGATACATCTTCACTTCCTGTTTCCAACAGTGAAAATTGCATTTGTCTATCTTGTTTCTATCAAAACTTATTCAAACAATACTCACTAGCCTTCATACAACCGTGACACATGCAAAGAAAACAGATCTTATCGAAATTTTTTATTATGATATTAGTTGAAGTATGATTAAATAGCATAGAAAGATAGAGCTTTTTTTTCTCTCTATCAGACTACATAGAGAGAAAATTTCTTTACGTTCACTATACGGTATTAAAGTATCACTCTCACTACTTTTGGTATGCCGTAAGTATATATCTCTAAAACCTTGGCTTGCATCAAGATAAAAACCATGATTCATTACTAGTTACATAGTTTTTATATTTTCATTAGATAATCGTCGATACATACCCCAAGCTCGAGATCGTCTCTTTTCAATAACAGCTTGATACAATCGATGTACTGGTCTTTTCTTACGACATTTGACATGAATAACATCACGAATGGTACGAAAAGTAGTGCCAACGCTAATATGATATCTTGCAGCCATTACGGAAATTGTTGAAGGATTTTCTTCATTAATTTACGATGCAATACGACGAACAATTGCAAGTGTTGTTACATGACATCGACGATAAAATTTTGGGTTTTGATTATTTTGTTTTCCGGCCTGATTATGATACATTTAAATTTATTTCTGATAATTCTTGTTGGATCATAGAATATAAATACTTTTTCGTGAAAAGATATTTGACGATACCTTCAATATTATCAGATATTTTACTACGAGGCATTCAATTATCTAAAATATAATTATCGTGCCAACATCTGGAGTATTAGAGGTGTCAACTGACATGAGAATCATGAGATCTGTATCAGTTATCAAAGACAAAAAATTGCATGCAAATCGTGTTAAAATAATCGATAGAAAATCGTTGAATACGATTATTTCCCAAATCGGCAACGTAGAGATTAGCATATTGATCGAAGGTCAAGTCCTCGGGATCGTAGAACTGATTTACTCGTGGGCCTTTACCATTTCCATCCATAATGACAGTGCCTTGTTTCGCTTCTTTAGACTAACGCATCACTCGATGATTCTGTGAGTCTGCTACATAGATGGTACCAAACGTATTGACGAACAGTCCAGTAGGATAAGACAATTGTGTCATCGTATTTCCTTGGCCTTGACCTCCAGCGACAACAATCCCTTCTGTTGCATCTTTATCCCATTTCATCACACGATGATTTTTGTAGTCTGATAGGTAGACAGTCTGGCGTTGATCGACAAAGAAGTCGCTCGGCTAGGTAAGTTGATTAAGGCCATCACACCTTCACCATGACCACCGGCCACCACAATTCCATTCTTGTCTCATATTTGATACCGTCTTACTTCATGTTTCTCAGTGTCAGATATGTATCGATATCTCTTATTATCCATGGTCAATCCATGACGAGTGATGTTGTCAACTATGACGAGACCAAAGTAAGACTCATCGATTTCCTTGGCCATGACCACCAGCTACTACTTCTCCATTCGCATCATGTATCTTCCATTGAATGATACGATGATTGCGCGTGTCACCAATGATTATTGTTTCAGCATCATTATCAACGAAGAGACCGTGAGGGTAGTAAAGTTGATTTGTGGCATTACCTTGTCCATGGTCTCCAGTCACAACCGTTCTATTCTGTGTCTAATGAGCATTGACTGGAATAGTGGAAATCACTACAAGGGATAAAAAATTAATAGAATCCGTCATCATTTTCGAAGAGATCCACCTCTCTTGTGGAAGAACTTTCCACAATACATTTTCGATCTATTATTAAGTTTCCAAAAGATTTGACTTAAATCGCTGAAAGAACATCTGCTCTAGATCTATCCATGCTCTATGTAGGAAAACATGGGAATTGACTTAGAAGCTTTGCCGCATGGTTTTCTAGGGGTTCAAGGGTTCTGATAAAGTTTGTTAGCACTAAAAAGAACATTCTAGCATTAAAAAGCAAGAAGCTCCGTGAGAATCTTGAACATGTTGCCATAGATCCTGATGAGAACTTTTCAAAATCAGAAATACAATTCTTACTAGGATCAGCACATCATCCTACACAGGACATCTGGAAGATATTAGGCAAGATACTAGTGAGATTTCATGAGGTATTTTCTGAAACTTCAGGTCAAACTCTTTAGAGTAGAACTTCGGGTATTCAACAGTCCGTATTTCGCATCATTTGCGAGACGAATGTTAATGTTAACTGCAAACTTAAGCGATTGACATAACGATGAGGTTAGGATTGTTGCCTACAGCTTTCTTCAAATTTTCATATACGTTTTTTTCTACGTAAGCAATGCATAAGATTAGTAGAATCGTTTCTCAATGCAACTCAGGACTTGCAAAAGATTGTGAGAAAGTTCTCGACAGAGACTATATGCCGAGTTTTCTCAGGATGTCTCGAAGATCTTTGTGTAACGAACATAATCTTGTTCTGAGTGTGCGCTTAAGTATAACTTAAGAAGCGACGGTATCCACCTTTACATATGATGAGTACGTAGTGTTTTTTGCATTCGCCGAAAGTGAAGAAGCGCATGGGGTGATATTTCGATAAGTAGAAATTCGATATTAATCCAACGATTTCGTCAGCAATTCATTTTTCTCCTAAAAAGGAGTCTTTATAGAAAAAATATCGTAATAAAAGTAACAAGCAATTGCTTTTCCTATACATGCATTTGATAAACTTGTGTCACCAGTCTAAACATGAATATTGTTGTTATCGATCATTGAGTTACATCCCAAGGTTTTCTTTGTTCGACTCGCTGGCTTAGTGAAAAATCCTTACTTGAGAAAGAATGCTTATATGTTTTCAACAGGAAAAGTGTTAGAACAAAATTTTTGTTACAGAACGATAGATCAAGAACTCTTCTTTCTTCGACAAAGGAAGACTTTCTCTAACCAAGATGACAAAAATCTGATCATTTTTTTGGGCCAAAAATTTTCCCAATATTTGACTGGGCTCGAATATTAGGACGTTATTCGAATCGCGAAAAATATCACTGACATGTTTACATCCAATGCTCAGGTTTTGTCTCCACTGTACATGAAGCACAATTAGTATCAGTACACATTATATTTTTAGTGATACAACTTTCCGCGAAATGCATGTTGTTGATCAAAACTCACATCCTTTGACATCTGATAGTCATATACACAATTTTTTTTTATTAGATTGATTAATAGAACAGTTGAAAATTGCAAGAAAAAAAAATATAAACTTTTCATTATGCTGGATTTTGACGAAAAAAATTCATAACTTGTCCTGGTATTATGTGAATTTCTGAATCATCAGTTAATGGTATTGGTGTTGCATGATTACGTCCATATATTCGTGCTTTTGTAAGTTCATCTAAAACAAATAAGTTAATATGAAATAAAAAATTTTAATAATAAATTAATGTTCTTACCTTCATGTTGTGCTTGTTTTCGTTCTTCTTCTGTTAAATTTTCTTCATCACGATGAATTAAAAGTGAATCATGTTCACGGTATGATACAATTAAATCTCCAAAATCATCCATTAATTTTCTTAAAATTTTATCTTTTACTCTATCAGCATCATATTTATCCAATGGATCATCTTCATTATCTGGTTCAAATCGATAAAGTTGAGCAAGTTCGTCATTTGTATAATGTCGATCAAGTTGTTTAGAATCAACGACACGTTGTGACATAGCTTGCTTAGTAATTTGACGTTTATATATTTTTTCTTCCATTGTACCTTTACCAATAATACCTATAACAAAAAAAACAATCTCTTTTGATTGTTTTAATTTTCAATCAAAATCTTACGATAGATATAGACTGGTTTCTTTTGTCCAAGTCGATATGAACGAAACATAGCTTGAAGATCATGTGCTTAAATAATTTCAGAGCGATTTTTTTTTTGTTTTTGAAATTCTTACATACAAACTACTTACCAGGGTTCCAACTAACATCAAAAATAATAACACGATTAGCAGAATAAAGATTTATACCAATACCACCAGCCATTGTTGATATAAGAAATAAACGTGCTCGAGTATTGTCAACTTCATTAAATGTTTTTATATCAGCTGCTCGTTGTTTAATTGGAACTTTTCCTTTTATTAAAATATTTTTCTTATAGTGTCAATAAAATATATAAAAATACTTACCATCCATACGAAAATAATCAATACCCTTAATCCATTTTGGTGAAGGTGCTCTTGAATCCCATCGTTCGAGCCATTGTTCAATATAATCAAGTGCAAGAAGACTTCGAGTAAATACCAACAATTTATCACCGATAGATTCACATTCATTTAAAATTGCTCGAAATAATTCAAATTTACCCGAAAGTTCAATCTTAGTAAGACAAAAATATTCTTTTTGATTTGTTTTAGAATGAAAACTTACATCAAATTGTGATCGATCGACATCGAATATATCATACCACCATTCTTTTTTCATTGCTTTGACTACATTTGCCATTCTATCAGTACTCATAACATCATCGTTGTCGTTCGTATTTGAAAAATATTTGCTGGTTATTGTTTGAGAAGTAGTAGTGGTTATCTAAAATTTTATAATTTTGAATTCCAAGGTTATTCGTAAAAAATATGAACATCCAAAAAATTGCAAAAACAAGAGAGAGTGGAAAACGAATAATATATGGACCCCCATGATTACTTAGCTTTTAGCTCAATCCATGTGAGGCTAGAATAGGAAACATGATTCAATTAACCACAAGGAGATTGCTTTATTCTTTCTATTTTGCGATACAGTTCTTCACCATCATTTCACTGAATTCTTTACAAATACAATAATTGATATGGAAAGGAGTATTCATACTGGGAACCGAACCAACCAGTTCGGTTCTATTAAAAATTCTTGTCTCCATGATAGTAGTTGTCATTGTCCGAAGTATGAATTTTTACTTTGTGTACTTCAACATTCCTTTTAGACCGTGTTCATTTAGATACTTTGCAACTTTAACAAATATCCAATTTGAATTTCTTACCAATTGTGTAGTCTTGTTTCTAGGTACTTGTTTAGGACGTTTTTGTGTTCGTGATCCTCCATATTCATCTTCAATGTCATCAGGATCATCTTGAAAAAATTGATCTGTTTCTATTTGATCTTGACCTTTTAAATATTTTTGATAACCATCAATAAAATGAGGTTTAAGAAGCCATGGATGCTAAAGAATGAAATTATCTATAAAGAGTACAAAGTACAAAAAAATCTTACTGTCCAGATTTTCATTAAATATTGATAATCACCAAGCAATTTAGCCATATCTTAAAAACAAAAAATTTAATTTTTAGAAAAAAAAACCAAGAAGAACCTACTTAATCGAGCTGTTGGATCAATATTTTGAATTAATAAATACGTTTGATAGAGTTCTTGTTGTAATGGCATACATTTTATTTTTACAGCTTTAAAAAAAAAAGAAAGAAAACCAATATTGATTTATTCATATAATATCATACTTACCATATTCGAATTTCGGTGGTAGAAATGAACGTAATACATCAAAATCACGTCGATGAAGAATAGTTTTTAAACGTTGATTTAATGCATATGCTCGACGTCGCATATATGCTACATCACCTGGTGAACTATCTTTATGTTGACCAGCTTCGATAGGTATTCGAAAATTTCGAGAAAATTCATGTTCACTACCTAAAAGTGTTTCATGAATTTTCAAAAATTGAAAATATATTCAAACTAACCAAGATAATTTGGTTTACAAAAATTAATCATAGCATAATATTCTTTTAAGTTATTTTGCATTGGTGTACCAGTCAACACAATTCGACGTAATGTACGTACTTCATTTACCACACGAGCAATAGCACTCTTTGGATTTTTACTAATAAGAACAAAACAAAACTCTAAATAAAGTAAACAAACAAAAGATACTTACATAATGTGACCTTCATCACAGATAATTAGATCTGGACCAGGTGAACGAAGATATTTTCCTAATAGAAAAAAGAATGTTTGTTTTTTTCTTTATATATTTGAAGAATATTGGATACTTACTATATTTTTCAATCGCAGCTAAATCAGCTTTAGTTTTAGTCATCTTTTTTGTCCATCCTTGATCACTATCATTTGATGAATCATCATCACTATCTTCTGTGGATCTCTGTTTTTTCGTTGCTTTTTTACGTGGAGCTTTAATTGTTGAATCCGATGCATAATTTAATAAACGATACATTTCATAACCCATAATTAATATACCACCACCTTCATACCACTAAAAGAAAATCTATAAACAATAGAATTTCTAAAGATAAACAACAATTTTACACAACGAAGAAATTGAATACGATCTTTTTTTTGTATATCATCAGCATTGAATAAATAAACATTAATACATGGTTCAAGATCACCTATCCATTGTCGAAATTCATTTTTCCAACTTAAAAGATATTAATTAATTAAAAAGAAAAAGAAATTAATAAAACTCTAATCATACATACTTATTTGCAGTATTTAATGGACAAAGTATTAATACTCGGTGAATATGAGTTATTTGTGGATAACGAAATAATGTATGAATCAATGATATGGTTGTAAATGTTTTTCCTAAACCCATACAATGAGCTAAAATAGCACCTGAACCTCCTCGATCTTCATTTTTTTCTTTATCAATGCTGGCTGCAATTCGTGCCGTTGATTCAAATACCTGACTCCAAAGAAACCGAACACCTTCAACTAATAAAAATCAAAATAAATAACTATTATCAATACGTTGAAGTTTATTGTACCTTGATGTTGTTTCATATATTGAACAAGCATTAAATCAACTTCAATAATAATATCATTTGTATTTGGATCTGTTTCAAGTACTAATTCAAATGCAAACGGTAATTGTTTTTGTTCATGTTGTGTAAGTATATCTCCATTATATTCTTTTTGTTTTCGAATACGTTCTAAACGAGCTAATTCTTCGCGTTCTTGTTGAATTTTAATACGTTTATCACGTTCAGTTTGTTCTCTAATAGCTTGTTTTGTTTCAATATTTAATTTATTTTCAGCTATTTCAGCTAGAAAAAAAAAGCAAAGAAATGAAATACATATATAGTTTCTTTTTTAAATAAGAATGATTATCTTACGTCGATGTATCACTTTCTTTTTAATTGGATTTCGTTGTTCTTTATCTTCATCGTCATCATCGTCAATAATAATTGTTTCATCAGAATCAGATGAGACTATTATTTGACATTTCTTTTTTCGTGTTATACGTTTTAATGGAATGATCAGATCATCATCCATATTCTCCATAGATGAAGTTTTATCAAGTAATTTTGAAGATTTACGATTCGATGTAGATGATAAAGACATTAAAGAATTAGTCATACGTTGTTGTTTTTTTATTTTATTTGCACCAGTATACCTTATATAATTGATATTTAGAGATTTTTTTTGTTTTTATCAACTATTAATATTACTTACCAAGGTGAATCAGGCTCGTCACACGTATTAAGATTGAAATCAGAATATTTTCTAAAACAAAAATGAAAACATGTAATTCAATAAAAATTAATTCTCACCGTTTATTCATCGTTTTTTCTACTTCAGAATCATCAATCAAATTAGAAGATGATAAATGTATTTGAAGACGTTCCCAAAATAATGATGGCATAAAGACAACGGAATAATTAAAAGTATATAAGAAATTATTTTTAATAGAAAGAAAATGAATCCATTCATATAATAACAAGCCAATGCATAAACACAAAAACAAATGTTTATATTGGATACTGTTTTTCTTTCTTTCGTTTTCTTTTATTAGAAAAGAAAATGACTATATAGTTCATTTTACTATCTCGATTTAATATTATACGTACATAGAAGACGATTATATGAATCACATGTGTTGTGATGATGATAATAATAAAAGAAAAAGAAGATCAACTTAAATACATTAAGTAAAGTTCTATACATATGTAGGATGAATTTTGAACAAAATCACAGCTTTGAACAATCAGGTTTGATTTATATAACAATAGAGAATATATAGACAAGAAATCATGAGTTATTAATACCTAACAACTAAAAAGAGAATTTACAATGAATTCCTTCGTTTGAATATTTATGAATTCAAAACATTTTTAATAGAATAAAAAATGGTTCTTTGTTTCACAAAATCCTGTTTTATTGTTTAGATCTTGATATATATGAATTTGATGCATGGTACTGTACAATTTTATCCAAATATATATTTTCATTAAGTTTCATTATGTCAAAATTTAATGTAAGATGGTGTCGTGACGTCATCGACTTCCCCGATATGACTATATTTGTAACAAATAGTAAACAGCAGTTTCAGTGCAATAGCCAAATAAAAAATCTCATTCTTTTTTTATTAGAAAAATACGTAAAGGTTCTCATTCAGGGCTCTTCAAATCCGGATAGGACAATTAAAAACGAAAATGATCGATTTCTCATCTGTCGAGTACTCAACCAGATCAGAAAAACTAGAAAGCTATTGTGTGTGGTCCTATAGTGGAAAATCAGACATAACTGAATCTGAAGATATTCATAACGTAGACAGATGAATTCCGATTTTGATGCTCTATTTATTTAAATACGAAATAATCGAACCTATTTAATCATCATGATTATTAAAAAAAATATGAATTTGATATATCTATAGTTCATCTATACAAATCTAAATTATAAAAATCCTTTGATTTATTAAAATTGGTTTTTCTATATTTTTTTATTACAAATATTTCATTGTAGTTTATTTATGAAATTTTATAAAGCAGGAGTGTCCCAAGCAAAGGCATGACTCTTNGATCATTGAAGAAGCTCGCGAAAGATAATTCTTGAAGAATATCAATTCTATGAGAGTATGGTCTCCATGATTGAATACTTTAATTAAGAAAAGAAACTCTTCAGCCAAATACAGATATAAGGATTTAACCTATGCATTCTGTCCTACTTACTGAAAAACATGCAAGTTGGCCAATATAAAGCTGATCTATGAAAACGATTTGATCGTCGAATCTTAATTTCTGCTGTCTTCTATTCATATGCATGAACTCGAGTTTTCTTAAAGCATTTTCGAAAAAAAACGTAATTTCATTTGAAAACAATATGAACATTTTCTCGGACAAAAAAATATAGTGGACTATCATTGTAAGACTAGTTCATATTGTAGTGAACTCTGTATGTTAAATTTTCATTGAGATATTCTATAAACAATGTATGTACTATCAATCAAAAATTTCAGTCATTCTATTTTTCTTTTTTCTTTTTGCTTACGAAAGCTAATTTTCCTTATTTTAAAAACATAAGATATCTGAATGTAGCTGCTGATAAAGAAGACCGCTGTTTATGGTGAACATAGCCAGCAATAGAAAGAGCTGATTCAGGACGGGTGATGTCACTGAACTAGCACTATAACGCTTTAGAAAAAGGAAAACAATTTTCGAGCAGTGTTCTATCAACATTATGCTTGTCAGAAATATATTTGAATAGAAATATCAATCTTCCTCAACATATTTAATCTATGCAAAAACAATGATTATTTTAATTTTCTATAATGGCCACATAAAAAAAAAGGAGACAAACTATGTGCAATACGATTCTCGGAATAAATATGAATAAGACGTTCTCTATTGAGCAAATTGCAGAAGTTTTAGAGCGTTATGAAATTCATATTAAAAAAAATATACGTTGCTTAAGAGAAAACAGGCTTCTGTTATTTTCATTATAGCACGCCTATTAAAAAAATAATGAAAAAATGTGGTTGAAAAATTAACTATTGTTCATTTTCTTTTCAAGGTGCCTTTGATAAAAACTAAAAAAGTACCTGAGGTGAGACTCTCTCGATGTATGCGTGAGAGAGAGATGGAAAGAGAGAGAAAAATAATGAACAATTTTGATGATCTTATCAATACTCGCATGGTAAAACTTCTCATATAAAGAGCAGAAATGATAGTTTATATGCGATCCATTGAAATTCAGAAAAAAATGGCGATAAAATAAAAGCAAATGTACATGCACCAAAGAAATTTTTGTTTTCTCTTCACATAAAGCCACATAATAAGTACTATGATAACCGTTGGAACTTGCTTACTTCAGTTTCATTGTGCACTATTCTCAAGAAATTGTACAGAAATGTTTAAACAGATGCCCTAATTTTTTGTAGCTATTACATAAGCTAGTTTCCCTTAATTACCTTCAGTCTGAATTGCATATTTTTTTCACACGTTTATAACAAAATTTCAGTAAATTATATAAAGAAACAACGACATACAAATTCAATGAATATATAATAAATAAGAATGCTAGCAGGATGGAGTGTGTAAATGTGCATTCGAACCCAAGAGTAGGAAAGCACCACGATCGTATCATACGCCCCACCCACATCCTTACTTTTTCATGTGTTCAATAACAAATTTGTTATTTCTTTATATATTTCTTCAAAGTTTTTCTTTTAACATATAGTTTATCACGATCACTAGTAAGTTACTGACTTTTTTAGTTTAACTAACCCACAGAAAGTAAATTCCCATACAACAAAGTCATGAATTGAAGCTTTTGTAATACAAACAATGAAAAGGTTATTCTCGGAAATTAAACTGTGAAAAGCATTTGTTAGCTTCCTGTTAAAATAAGCAATCATACAATTTTCTTGGAGAATTGATTAATGGTTATGAGTGAGTCTCGATTTTACTCCTGCTACGCTGATACTTTATTTTTTTAGTTAAAATGAAAATGACAAATGCAGATAAAGTTTAGATTTTCATACAAATTTCAAGACAGTCACATAAAGTTGTTTGTAACAAATACTGCATCATGCAGTTCAGATTGATTTTAATGAAGTTATCAAGTAGGTGATTTTGAAAAAATAACAGATGCCCACACTTTGTATGAGGAACAAGGAAGCAAAAGTCAAGAAAAAAAATATTAGTAGTGTATTTGAATAGATTCTTCTTCATATTCAAGTTGCCACTTGTGGGAGTCTGTTGAGATGGTTAAATAGGTCGTTCTCTGTTAGTGTGATAACAATTATGAGCATAGAGCATTTCCCTCTTATACAAGATCTCTGAAGTTTAGATTTTATTATCACAATTATTGAATATTATTGATTTTCAAAGCACTGGTTTTATTTTCTCATATTCATATGTATGTTTTTTATTCGAAACATGCTACATTTCATGAAAAGCACTATCAAAATCGTGTCATTTTAGCTTAGTTAATTCCACTCTTTGATTCATATCTCCTCAATGATCTGACTCACATTTTGTACTGTTACTGGAATTACAGCATCAAATTTTATCTTTGAAACTGAAGCGTTATAATTGAAGGTTGTGATGAGTATGTGAATGACTGTAAAAAATTTGTTCGTACTTGTTTCTTTCAGTGAACGTCTTGAAGTGCACTGCTACGTCCTCTCATATCAGCTAAATAACCTCAATCCTTTCTGAATGCATAGAAAGTCATGACACCATGCATCATTCTCACGTTCACACAGCGAATATTTACAGCGGATTCCAACTCCCAAGTTTCAAAAGTTAAATTCTTATCTTTCACCAACTTAATGCAACAAGAATTAGATGGTGAAACTATGTGACTGACTAAATTTTTGCGAGATAGAAAAGTCTTAATTTAAATAGCTTCTTTCAACTCACAAATTTATACGTACTGATCAGTTCACACTAGCCAAAAAACATGCCACGAAGCATACAAAACTTATCCGACTACTTACAATTCTTTCTCAGATTAACGGTATATAGAGTATATTGAGTAAAGCTGTAAATAATTAGAAGTAAAATTCAAAATAATAAATAACTTCTATTTAGAAATATGAAGACTGAGTGATAATCGATCCAATGGAGACATTCTATGATTCTGAAATAAAGGTTCACAAACATGCCCGAATACGTAGAAAGCTTTTGATCACTTTAGAATGTTAGAAGAAGATTTTCCTCTTTCTTACTACTCTAAAAAATCAGAAATAAAGCTTTCATTTCTGTTATTTTTGAATTTCATCTTAGAAAGTGTATTTTAAATCAAATTNAACATCATATATATAAATTATTCAATATACATTTTTTCATAGATAAGAAGTTATGCAAAGAAAGTAGAAATTTTTATTCGATGTTTAAATTATATTGATATAAATAAGAAATCTAAGATTTAATCATTGTAAAATATGTCAAACTCATTCTTTCAAAGTATACTAAACTTGACGTTTATCATAACAATAGAAATTCGCGTAAATATAAAAAAAAGAAATGGTAGAGACTGTTTTTAGCATAGAAAAGAAAAGCACGAAGTTTCATTTAACGACTAAAACTGAACTTTTCTGCAATGTTGATAAACTGCATCTTTTGACATAAAAACTTACTAATCTCTTTTTTTTTTCAAACAGAAAGAAGAAAAGTTTTGGATTAAATTTGATTACTAATTGAGTTATACACATTGTATGAAGTGATCATAACTTTGCAGACGTTCGGCATGTTGAAAAAATAAAAAATAAAGTATGTGTGAGACATATCCTAACTGTATTAGTAGAAAGACATTATACCAATAGAATATTGTTCGACAAGAAAACAATTATTGCATTAGAATCGTCAACACAACGAGAAAAAAACGAACAGAATTTCAACTAATTTTAATAGACATGAGCTTGAAATGAAGCTGTATCTATGTTTATTCGTAGATTCATATAAAATATAAAATGAGTCAACAAAAAATATTTCTTTGTCTTCATGTAATTTTTTTTCTCGATATGTTGAAATCAGAAAAAATTCACTAGGGTGTGGGTGTAGGTGTGGGTGTGTGTTTCTTCTTCTCACATCCACACATCCATCCACATCCGCACACTCACATCCACCCATACTCACAGACCCACACCCACACCCACACCCCACATCAACAAGTTAGTTTCTTATTTTTATTCTGAATTTAGTTCTATTTTTCTATACATTTTATTTGAATCATTATCAAAAGGCTTTAAACCAATCCCTTGTATTGATTCAACAATGATCGGTACCTATTGCGATATTCCGAATAGTTTATGTGCCATGATTGAACCATGTCAAAATAATGGATCATGTGTAGATGATCAAACTCAAACTCTTGGTTATTATTGTCTATGTTCATCTGATTTTAATGGTACTAATTGTGAATTTGATTATCGACCCTGTAAACCACTTTCTTGTTTGAATCATGGTAAAAAGATTATTGTTTAAATATCAAGAAGATGTATGAAATATATTTTGTTTTAGGTACTTGTAATCAAACATCAAATTCAACATTTAATTGTGCATGTAATGATGGTTGGCAAGGAAAGAACTGTCAATCAATGATAAACTTTTGTGACAATATAACATGTAAAAATAATGGTGTTTGTCGACCATTATTATTAAATTATACATGTGAATGTCTTATTAATAATTATTATGGTCGTCATTGTGAAGGAGTATCTATGAAAATTGTTATTTATAGAGTTGTCTCAACATCATTTGCTTATCTTGGAATTCTTGCTATAGTATGTATTGCTATGTTTGTCATTATAATGGATATATTGAAATATTGTTTTGGTATTGGTCCAACACGTGAAGATTTAGAAAGTATTCGACGAAAAAAAACGAGAGAGAAAACGAAAATTTCATGCAATGCAACAATTGATTGACATTAATATATCAACAATTTAATATATTGAATAAAAAATTAATTAGAACAAACATAAATTTAATAGCTTCGGGTGTGGGTGTGGGGTTTTGAGTATGAGCGTGAGTGCAGAGATGGATGTTGGGGTGCAGGCCGGTATTAAAATAAGAATCATAGTTACACCCACACCCTCAAATACTTTAATTAAGAAAAGAAACTCTTGAGCCAAATACAGACATAAGGATTTAACATATGCATTTTGTTCTATTTATTGGAAAAACTGCAAGTTGGTCAATATAATGTTTACCTATAACAACGATTTGATCTTCGAATCTTAATTTCTGCTGTCTTCTATTTATATGTATGAACTTCAGTTTTCTTAAAGCATTTTCGAAAGAAAACGTAATTTCATTTAAAAAAAAAATATGACAACTTTCTCGTACAAAAAATATAGTGGACTATTGTAGGACTAGTTCATATTGTTGTGAACTCTGTATGTTAAGTTTTCATTGAGATATTCTATAAACAATGTATGTACTTTCAATCAAAAATTTCAGTCATTCTATTTTTATTTTTTTTTTTTGCTTACGTAAACTGGTTTTCATTATTTTAAAAACATAAGATATCTGAATGTAGCTGGCGATAAAGAAGACCGGTGTTTGTGCTGGACATAGACAGCAACAGAAGGAGCTGATTCAGGACGGGTAGGGTCACTGGACTAACACCATAACGCTGTAGAAAAATAAAAAATAAAATTCCTAACAGTGTTCTATCAATATTATGTTTGTCAGAAATATATTTGAATAGAAATATCAATCTTCCTCAACATATTTTATCTATGAAAAAACAATGATTATTTTAATTTTCTATAAAGGTCACATAAAAAAGTAGACAAACTATCTGCAATACGATTCTCATAACAAATATGAATAAGACATTCTCTATTGAGGAAATTGCAGAAGTTTTAGAGCGTCATGAAATTCATATTAATAAACTATAATTTGCTTAAGAGAAAACGGGCTTCTGTTATTTTTATTATAACATGCCCATTAAAAAAATAACAGAAAAAATGCGATTGAAAAATTAACTATTGTTCATTGTCTTTTCAAGGTGCCTTTGATAAAAACTAAAAAAGTACCTGAGGTGAGTCTCTCTCAATGTATGCGTGAGAGAAAAAAATAATGAACAATTTTGATATTCTTATCAATATTTGCATGGTACAACTTCTCATATAAAGAGCAGAAATTATAGTTTATATGCGATCCATTGCAATCCTGAAAAAAGATGGCGATAAAATAAAAGCAAATGTATCATGCACCAAAGAACTTTTTGTTTTCTCTTCACGTAAAGTTAGATAATAAATACTATGACAACCGTTTGAACTTGCTTACTTCAGTTTCATTGTGCATTATTCTCAACGAATTGTACAGAGAAATGTTTAACCAGATGCCCTAATTGTTTTAGCTATTACATAAGCTCGTTTCCCTTAATTCCCTTCAGTCTGAAGTGTATATTTTATCACACGTTAATAACAAAATTTCAGTAATTTATATAAAGAAACAACGGCATACAAATTCAATGAATATATAATAAATAAGAATGTAAGCAGGATGAAGTGTGCAAATTTACATTCGAATCCAAGAATAGAAAAGCATCGCTGCCGTATCACATACTCCACCCATGTCCTAACTTTTTCATGTGCTCAACAACAAATTTGTTATTTCTTCATATTTTTATTGAAGGTTTTATCTTTCGACATATAGTTTATCTCGATCACTAGTAAATTACTGATGTTTTTAGTGTAAATAACCTCTAGAAAGTAAATTCTCATAAAACAAAGTCGTTAATTGGAGTTTTTGTAATACAAACAACGGAAAGTTTATTCTTGGAAATTAAACTGAAAAGTATTTATGAGTTTGCTAGTAAAATAAGCAATCATAAAATTTTCTTGGAGCATTGAATAATGCTTATGAGTGAGTCTCGATTTTACTCCTGCTACGCTGTTACTTTATTTTTTTAGTTAACATGAAAAAGGTAAATACAGATAAAATTTAGATTTTCATACAAAGTTCAAGACAGTCACATTAAGTTGTTTGTAACAAATACTGCATCATGCATCTCAGATTGACTTTAATGAAGATATCAAGTAGGTGATTTTGAAACAATAACAGATGTCCGCACTTTTGTAAGAGGAACAAAGAAGCAAAAACCAAGAATAAAATATTAGTAGTGTACTTGAATAGTTTCTTCTTCATATTCAAATTGCCACCTGTGGGAATCTGTTGAGATGGTTAAGTAGGTCGTTCCCTATTAGCGTGATAATAATTATGAAGGTAGAACATTTTTCTCTTTTAAAAGATCTTTGAAATTTAGATATTCTTATCAAAATTATTGAATATTATTGATTTTCAAAGCACTAGTTATATCTTCTCATATTCATGTGTATGCTTTTTATTCGAAAAATGCTATATATCGTATGAAAAGCACTATCAAAAGTGTCACTTTAATTTAGTTAACTCCGTTCTTGGATTCATATTTTCTTAATGATCTGACTCCCATTCTGTATTGTTACTGGAATTGCAGCATCAATTTTTTTTTTCTTTGAAACTGAAGCGTAATAATTGAAGGTTATGAGGACTATATGAATGAATATGAAAAATTTGTTCGTACTTGTTTCTTCCAGTGAACGTCTTCAAGTGCACAGCCATGTTCTTTCATATCAGCTACAAAACCTCAATCCTTTTCAGATGCATAGAAAAAGTCATGACACCATGCACCATTCTCACGTGCACACAGCCAATGGTTACAGCTGATCTCAACTCTCATGATTCAAAAGTTAAATTCATATCTTCAACCAACTGATTCCAACAAGAATTAGATGGTGAAACTATGTGACTAACTATATTTCCGGGATAGAAATGTCTTACTTTAAATAGCTTCTTTGAACTCACAAATTTATGCATACTGATCAGTTCACACTGGTCAGCAAGCATGCCACAAAGCATACAAAACATATCCTATTGCTTATAATTCTTTCTGAGATTAATGTGGTATAGAGTATATTGAGTAAAGTTGTAAATAATTATAAGTGAAATTCAAAATAATCGATAACTTCTATTTAGAAATACGTAGATTGAGTAATAATCAATCCAATGGAGACATTCTATGATTCTGAAATAAAGTCTCATAAAGATGCCCGAATACGTAGAAAGCTTTTGATCACATTAGAATGCTAGAAGAAGATTCTTCTCTTTCTCACTACCATAGAAAATTAGAAATAAAGCTTTTATTTCTGTTACTTTCGAATTTTATTTTAGGAACTGTATTTTAAATCAAATTGCATTTTAAAATCGTAGTAGTCTCTCTGCAAATCTATACCATGATCGTAGTGCTTTATTAATTACATTATCTGTCGTCGTGAATATTATCATTTATTTCATTATCTTTCTTTTATTTAATTAACTGTATTTTTTAAGAGTAAAGGGTTCATTTACTTTAATGTTATAAAGTAAAAGTAAAGTATCATCCCTAACTACACCCTCAGAGGACTAGGCTTCTCCAGTAAACTTTATTTATTGAATTGGAAGCAATGTCGTTTCTGAAGAGTGAGTTATTTGATGTGGCAAATAAAATATGCGTAATCGCTTGTTTTCATGTTACAAAACGAGAAGCAACAAAAAAGTAGTCTTTATTGGAATTGTCATCGAAAATATAAATTATCCGATTACACAAATTGAAAATGTTAATATTTGTGCATGAAAGAATACGAATAGCACAGTTACCAATACTTATATATGTCCAGATACACTAAAACCCTCATTTGCATACTTGGTGGTCTGTAAATAATTTGTTTAATCTCTTTTCTTGTGAAAAAAAGATCGATAAAAATCCGCTTTTTTCCACTGAATCTATTAAAAAAAAGGAAACAAAGCTTTTTATAATTTTAACTCAATCAGTTATGATACATCTTTTACGAGGTAAGTCATATTGACATATAGATTACCACTGAATTCTTACAGCAGATAAAATGATTACGATGTAGTTTGACGACCAATTTCGATGCAAAACACATTCTCGACGTGACTGATGTAAATTAATTGATTTGTTCGTGGAACGAGCATCAGTTATATTTGAATTCTTAGAGAAAATCCTAGCAAAAGAATCTATCAACATGAATCGTTGGTTTTGAGGTTGTACTTTGGAAAAGTATTAAACGGTGTAGAATTCTTCAACGTAGATCAATGATCTTAAATGATAAACATCTTACTAACAGAGTGTTTTAATTTTCAATCAAATATTTTGGAAATTGCAGCAGAAAGAAAAAAATTTATCACACTACCCATTATTCAATTAGTAATTATCTGCTAGGAAAGCAAATAAAAAACATTGAAAGAGCTTGAAAATTCATGATGTTTAGAAAGAAAGTAGTAGTTTCTCATTAGAAAATGGAGCATATTCTGGAAACATGAAAAAGCGTGAGAAATCCATTTGATTTGGAAATAATTAAAAAGGCAGATATCATCAAAAACTAGTACTTCAATGTTCATTCTTTCTAAGTCTGCCTTCATCAAAAGTATTTTCCAAATGGAGAAAGAAGTTCGAAGTTTGCTTTTCTTCAAGAATTTGATACTTTCAGACTACAAACAAACATAGAGAATACTTTGTTGTTACCCAAGAACTTTTATCAAGTCTTCTTTATAAATATGTTAGGACAGCATTCGCAAGAAAAATTGTGTCTTGGTAATTTGGATAGATGTGAAGAATACATGACATCAATGGATGAAGAGATTCTTTTACTGCCAGTCATTAATTTAAGAGAAGAAAGTTTTGAATCTCATCAATTAATATGGCTAGACGATGATACGAGCAGTATTTGTACTGGCAAACTTCGTTCGATTATTGATCAATCGAGAATATTCAACAATATTGACGAATGTATGCAACATTTAAAAACAACAGAAAATAGAGTAAAATTTCTAGTTTCATCTGAAAAGTTCAGCGAAAAAATAGTGCCACTTGTACACAATTATCAACATCTACGATCAATCTTTATTCGTTGTCATAATGAAAAAGAAAATGAACAAATGCCGCTGAAATATGAAAAGGTAATTGAAAGTGCATGAAATATATACTACACATTTTTTTTTGCATCTCACTTATTTTTCGAGTTCTATTTAGGAAGCTACAGAACAATCAAGAGATGGCCTTGAGTATCCACTAATACACACATTTTGTCTCTACGTTGAAATATATTTTGAAGAGGCGCCGGAGTTTGTAGTCAAGATCGCATTCTTCCTTTAAACAAAGTAATGCGATGTGTGGTCTCCCTTCCATAGAATAAATAAAAATATGACATTGATCTAATTAAAGCAGCTTGTAGTGCAATCCTTATGCTAGTAAGATGTGACATTATTGAGTCATTTTAATCATTATAGAAAAGTCTCTGCATTTATATCAATATTTAATAGGCAATAGAATAGTAGATTAGAATAAATCATTAAGCCGCAGCAGATATGTTGAATACCGTTTCTATGATGTAAAAAGATAGAGTAATAATTTTGCTTTCTATATAGATACTTTAGCATGCATTCATAATCCTGTTTCGCAAAATGATTGATCTAAAAAACTGCTATATTAAAATGTAAGAAACTTGTAACCTCGACGTGCGTCTACACTGAACGTAAAGTTAGTCGAGCTGAGGCGGTGACATACTATGTACTGTTTTAGCAGTGCATTCTGAATACAAGAAATCAACATTTCTAAGTACGAGAAGCTAGACTATATTCAGAACCAATATAAGATTCTTTATAAACTCTTGAATATAATGTTTCAATAATTTTAATGAAACTGAACAATTTTTGCTAAGCTTTCTTTTTTACATTTTGCCAAGTGATAGTAAGGCTTTTAAACAAAAGTTTCTCAACACTTCGAATATGGAGGTATAACCAAATGTTGACGAAAAAAGGTCCAATTTATGGTAAAATGGCAGTAAACAATACTAAATCAAAGTACAAAGAAAAAAATTTTGCTAATCACTTTATTATAAAGTATATTTCCAGCAAGAACAATCTATTGCGATCTGTATGCATATGGATTTGATTTACTTTTTATTTAGGTTATTGGTTGTTACGGTACGGTGAAGAATTTGTTAACTGCTCTGATAAAGAATATTCAAGATTTTCGTCGACACTGTTCAAGCGAAGAACATATTTTTGAAATACCACACAAAGTAGATCAAACTACTGACGAAACGATTTCATGGTGGTCGCAATTTATTGATTTTCTTGCTCGTGTTGTTCAATATCCCATAAACTGCAAACACAGATTGGTTAATGCACTCAATACATACTACAATGGTAATGTTGATAGAATGAGAATCATACAAGAGTTCGATGAAACTTATACACCTGAAACAGCTATTCGATGGTATACACGCCAAACATTTTTCTTTTCTTTATTGAATACAGCATTGAGACAACAAAATATTCCATGGATATTCCTATTTGGTTTTTTCCTCAAGGATGTGTATGAACAATTGAAACAAAAGCATACAGAATATCTGAAGCAGCAAAATCGAGTTCTAAAAGTTTACCGTGGTCAAATCATATCGAAAAAGGAAGTTCTCCAGTTAAAAAGAAACCGCAAATGTTTGGTACCGACCAATGCTTTCTTATCGACAACAGTGTCACGAGAAATTGCGAAAATTTTTATACAACCGACACAACCTGAAGATGAATTTCAAAGTATTTTATTTGAAATTGAATTGAGTTTCGAACCAACATCTCAGTTATTTGGCGATATATCAAGTTTAAGTACGTTTCAAGATGAAGAAGAATTTTTGTTTATGGCCGGATCCGAATTTGAAGTGAAAGATAAAGGTGTTCGATTCGAGGAATCTGAACAATTGTGGATAATAAAACTAATAGAAAGTAATTATATAGACAAGGATCGTGAAACAGTCTTTCTCCACCCATCTGGAGTCAACCTAAAACGTGAGATTCGAAAAAGTCTGACTTTTTTGAATTACACAACTGAAGATAACATTAACTTAATTTTCACGAATTTACTCTTGTTATATCCATCAGAATCGTGGTTGTTAGCCATTCGATATGAATATTTAGCAAAATGTACTCCATTCTCGATGAAATCACAAAGTACATTAGTTTATTGTAATAAAGCATTGGAGCATTGGAGGAATTACCTGCATCATAGCTGCCAGTCATGATGCGAATTAGAAATAGGTGAAGTTTATCGAATGATTGCCATCCATTACTTGAATAACAATAATAAGATCTTAGCTGATGAAAACTATACTTTAGCGATAACTTATTATAACAAAGCAATAGAAAATGTGCTACAAAATGATGACTACATGGAACAAATGCTTTTCATCAAATTTGATAAGACCTTTAGAAAATGTGCTAGTCTATATATAGATGAAAAAATTGATATGACTGATGACGTTCATGAAAAAATGAATTATCGACGTATAGCCCTTACATACCGTCAACGTGAACTTCAAATGAGAAAAACATTTTCATGTCTTGAAAGCGATGAATTGACTATAATTTGTTATAACGCGATTGGTCAATTTCATGAGCAACTTTTAAATTATAATGATGCAATAAAAAATTACCAAGAGGCTTTAGAATTATTTATGATTCATCCTAAACCATATTATCTGTGGATTATAAATATTGCTGAAAGTCTAATTAGAATTCTAATGGAAGAAATAGGCGATTATGATGCTGCTCTTCAATATGCTTTACTAGTGCATGAGTATAAAAGCTTATATTGGACATCAGCCATTGATGAATTTAATGATGGCCAAATAGATATAGCCAAAACTCATATAAAATTGTCCACTATTTATGAAAAATTATTGAAATATGAGTTAGCATATCACAATCTTTTAATAGCATCTAAGCTATATACATCTTCTAATAGAACATATTCTTACTCTGAAGTGAAACCTGTATATACAAAAATAGAAATCTTCGAACAAATGCTTGGAAAAAAAGACAAGTAAATCTTTAGATGGTGTTTATAGATTGGTGTAGCTCGAATGGCGTCTAGATGAAGAATAATGAAATAAAAGGAATTATAACTGCCGAGGCCATGCGATAATATTCGTTCTTCAAAGAATTCTCGTTCAGAACATCGATTGATAGATTTAATTTGAATTAGTGATACAATGACCTCCGTCATCAAGGAAAAATAGCAGACTCTAGATACATCACAAATACTATAATAGTTTCCAGATATTGAAGTCCTGTCTCACTTATTACAACAAGGCTTATAATGACGAAAGGGGAGGGAGGGGAGGGGTCTGAAGTATGGCTCGGATTATTGGAATACAAACCAGAGTACCGAATTTGGATGAAAATATCAGAATATGCGCTCATATCGAGTTACTTAGAGTTAGCCACTAGCTTGCTTGACCTCAATCTGCAAGATTCTTCACCATCAGACGGATTTTAGTAACACTACTGTGCTCTAGTGATAATTCAGTGCTCTAAACTGACATATAATGCGTACAGTAAACTTTGTAATTTGGAATATACTATTCAAATACATGATGGCCGAGCGTAAGTTCTAAACCTAATGTACGAAGTGGCACAGTGTTGTTTTCTCTTTGTCCATCTTGTTCATTGAAACTTGCTATATCAGCCCGAGATGCTAATGATGAATTTGTCGAAGTAAATGATTTGTCAGGGATATGATTGTGTGGTATTTTAAAGAGTTTCTATTCATTTTTTTTCCACAAACAGTCGATAAACGAGTCAAAATGTTCTTATCTAGTTTTATCCAGATGCATATGCCGCATTACATCTATACTTCAAAGGAAAACTTCAATACTTTACGAACGAGAACCCATTATTTCAAAAAGAAATGAATTATTTTCATGCACATCTCACATATCTAACAGCCTAATAATCCAAATTCAATCAATTGTGTAACACTACAGCATATTTTATTCACATTATCAGAAACGTAATTTGCTCGTATTAAGGTTAACATCGAATGCATTTGCCAAAAACTACCGCACTCGCTTTGACTGTTCATCATGTAGTAGCAATGTTTTACTGATCGGAATGCAATTTTGAATGAGCTAGACTTTCCAGGCCGAATCAGTTTTTAAAGCGGATCAGATAGCGACTTGACAGAGTTGCCATTTTAAATCGGAACTATTCTTGTTATCAGCTGGTGCATCTCTAAATCCTTCATATGGGTGTGGGGTGTGGGTGTGAGTGTGGGTGTGGGTGTGGGTGTGGGTGTGACTGTCGGTAGAAGTAACATTGAGACCTTCATCTACCAATACACACCCACACCCACACCCACACCCTAATGTAAAATAAGCCAACTATAAGTACTAGTTCATCAACTAGCAGTATTTTGTAATTAAAGTTGCAGCCAATAAAACGTAATTACAAGTATAAATGCATATTTCGAAAAGTGGTTTTTTCACATCGACAGTATATATTTTTGTAAAGGAGAATGTGGCTATGAGGCTAAATGAATAGGAGACTCTTATCTGACATTGGTACCATCCTCGAAACCTATTATCTCATGCCTTCTAAATAGGTATTATTTTATAAGCATGCACTTGATTAGTCTAGGTAAAAGAGAATTTCACATCAAATGAAAACTTTTCTAGAATAGATCACACGAAGATTGTTATTTTCATTCCGCCTTCGAGCTCCTTAATGCATGATTGTTTTTTTAGCCAAATTCTTTAGAACTACAATAAAGAAACAGTTGATATATTCTCATGAGAGCTCAGTGACTTTTTATGCTAAATAGTGTAATGAAATGCTTGGCATGGTTTATGATCGGTATGAATTTCAACGTCACGGTCTGTAAGGAAGAGAGGTGCAAATTTCTACCCCTATACAATTCAACACTGCTCGTAGATCGTATTTGACAAAAAAAGTCACTGCTAGGCGTGAAAATCATCTCACTTTAATTAAAATATACTGTAAATACTAGATCATATCATGAAAGGATGTGAGTGTAAATATGGATGTTTGCATTCTTTTGAGTCAAACTCACACACCCACACCTCTAGTTTGAAGAGAGAAGACTCTGATGTTTTGATTACTTTGCTCATAATAAAAATGTTGTGAGTTCAATTCCTACCGAAGTACCATGCAAATCGAACGCATAATCTGTCTGGCTATTTTTGACTGTACAAGAAAACAAGAAGAGTAAATTCAGACAGCGTCGTGAAAGATCGTTTTAGTTCTTCAAGTATATATTTTATTATAATTCGTAATTATGACATTTATCATATACATATTTATGCCATCATTGAATACAGTAAAATAATGTTTTCGCGATAAATTTGCCTTAAACTGTTCTTAATATTTTCTGTTTCTAAACTGGGAATTCAATTAATTGAGTTGAAAAACTCGACGATACAACACACGTAAACATGTCCTTTTTCACTATAATACTTTGAATACTCTCTAGAATATTTGCTATGTATTTATATTTACGACCAAAAGATTGTTTGTTCGCCTACGCGACTGGTTGATTGATAACTATTACATTGCTCATAAGCCTAAATAAATGAAGCACAGAAAATGTAAGCATAACTGAACAATTTAACAGTTATATTTTCAAGAAAAAATATAGCAAAAATATACAATGAAAATTAGTGGAAAGTTTTAATAGATGGTTATTAGTACAACACATTAGCATCATCTTAGTTTCTAAAAATTATTTTTAAAATATTATTTATCGAATGAAAACATTATTTTACTGTATTCAA